CTGGTAGCACAGGCCTGTAACCTCAATACTCCAGAGGTAGAAGTAGGGAGATCAGAAGTTCAAGGCCAGCCTGGGCTATAGAGTGAAACCATGCCTCAAAAAGAAAAGTTGCTGAGATAGAGGGTGGTGATGGGTTCAAACCCCTGTGAACATATTCAATGCTCTCGAACTACACAATTGAATATGATTGAAATGGAATCAAGTGGTCCACGGAAACCATCATATTACAACCTAATTCCAGGAGCTGGTGAAGTAAACGGCTCCGGAGGACCTGATGACTAGAGCTTGAGCCCCAAAACCCACATAATGGAAGCAAAGCAAATATTTCTCTGATCTCCCCACACTGTGGCATACATGTCTATACACAGAGTCACACAACAAACAAGTAAATGCTAATATGTATATTTATTTACACACACACACACACACACACACACACACACACACACACACACACACTTCTCCCTCTGGGGCCAGAGTGATGATGGTTCAACAGTAACACCACACACTTCAGAGGATCTGAGTTCAGTTCCCAACCCCCACAATGAGCAGCTCACAACTCCAGTTCCAGGGGGATCTGTTGCCTATGATCTCCAAGAGCATCTGCACTCAGGTGCACCTATCCCCCACCACACATATACACATATTAAAAATAAAGCCTTAGTAAATATATAAAACCTCATTGCAATCTCAAAAAGTAATTTAAGGAACCAAGAATGACCCTTTGTATGATGTGTTTTCCCAACTTTACTGCTCCACTCAATCAGAGGAGGGTGTTGAGCACACACACTACAGTCTCCTTGCAGAAGTGAAGACACAGATAGTCTTTGAAGACACATTTCCAAAGTCTCTGGACCACTCCAGTGCCCTGGTTTTTTTAGAATAAATGTTCAAGGTTTATAAAGGACCTCGTGCTGAAGCCTGCAGTTGGAGGGAGTGCAGGTGGGGGGGAATAGCCTCAGTCAACTATAGGGATTGTCTGCAGTGGCCTGCTCCTGCCTCACTCTACCTCCAGAAGTGCTTTCCTGGAGCCATTCTTCCTCCCCCCCCCCCCCCCCAGGATTACGGGGGAGCCACTGATAGATACTTCAGGGTCTGAGGCCTGAGCTCACCTAGAAGTTTCTTTCCATATCAGGCCAGTCAACTCACCTGGCCAAAGGTTTCTTAATCCTTGCTCCTTAAGGTTAGTTTATTTAATAGCCAAATAAGTCAAAGCTTGCCCCCATCCATACAGGAGACTAATATTGCTAGCATTGGCTGTCCCTAAACCTTTGCTTCTATGTCATTAACTAAAAGCACATCACCAGGAATCTAGGGTCCAGTTGCTCAGGTGGCGGCCTGGCTTTGAACTTTAAAAAGTGACAATGCCAGCCCTACTCTGTACTAGGCAGGAGGATGAGATCCAAAGCCAGTGACAAGATAAGCCTCTGGAAGAAATGGCAGTCTGTCAGTATGATGCCTCATTGTTCAGAGATGAGGGACCCAATGGCAAGGACCTCAGGGAAACGAAGGGGGAGGACTGAAAGATGCCCACAGGGCTCCCACTGATGGGACCACTCAGTGGGACAGCATAGGGTTGCCTGTGAAATGGAGTCTGACTGGAATACCACAGAAGAGAGTTGGAGCACAGGTTCAAAGCTGTAGGACTTGGATCCCAAAGAGAGATTCACAATGTGACTATCACTAAGGAAACCTCACAGGCGGAATCAGCTTTTCTAAATCAACCACTGCACCAAATTCCCTGCCAGCTTATAAAACGCTTCCCAGATTTGCCTTCCTTTCTCCAAAGGATGCCGTTTTATTAAACAGTGTAGGAGGCTGGAGAGGGGGTGGAGAGTAGAAAGACAAGTTAAGGGTGAATTACATTTTAATTTAATATAATTTTAGATGTAGTCTTTCTCAGTCTTGCTTCATTCAAGGCTATCCTAAATGTAGTCATCCAGAATGTGTGGGCCCTGTTCTTCTGTAAGGTTGGAATTAAAACAAACCAACAAACAAAAAACAACAAACAAACAAACCAGTATCTTGGAGCTGAGTTTCTAGCTCAGTCATTAGAATCCTTGTCTTTCAAGCATGAAGCCCTAAATTCAATCCCCAGGGCCCAATAAACCAGAAGTGTTGGTAGATGCCTGAAGGCAGAAGGATCATAAGTTCAAGTTTGTCCTGCATGGTCAGTTTGCGGCCAGTCTGGCATACATGAAACCCAATATTAACAAAGGTGTGTGTGAGGGGGAGATGCTGCTGGAGAGATGGTTCTGCAGTTAAGAGCACTGGCTGCTTTTCCAGAGGACCCAGGTTCAGTTCCTAGCCTATCGATTCACATCTGTCTGTAACTCCAGTTCCAGGGCTTCTGACACCCTCATACAGACATACATGCAGGCAAAATACCAATGAACATAAAAAAAATAAATAAATTATACATATTTTTTAAAAAGGTTCCCAGGGGGTCACAGAAGTATAAACCCTCAATCCCAGCTCCTGGGTGCCTGAGATAGGAAGATCTCCAGTTTAAGGCCAGCCTGGGCTGTATAGTATGACCTTCTCCTTTATTTTCTTTTTTCTTATTTTTAGAGACAAGGTTTCATGTAGACCAAGCTACCCTTGAACCCCTGATCTCTCTACCCTAACAATTTGACTTACATATGCTATCAGTGTGTGTGTGTGTGTGTGTGTGTGTGCGTGCATGTGTGGATAGACTTGACTGGCCATCTGTACATCTGCACACTGGAGCAGAAGCATGTACAACATACTGGAAGGAGACTTTGTGTTGCCATGTTGCGATTCTAGAGAGTTTCAAGAAAATCCTACTTTGCTTTATTTTGCTGCCCATTTACATTTCCTGGTAATTCTGGAAGCCTGGCCACAGTACTTAGGCCTAGACTCATCTGAGTAGAGAATCATGCAAAGTGAAAACATGCTTTTTATATTTTAAAACCTGCTTCTTCCAGGTGATTGACAGCTGGTTCAAAGTGCTTCTCTGGACACATTTCAGTTTCCCAGGTTGAGTTGGGTTCCCAGACAACAGGTTGGTCCTCAGCAGTCAAGTAACCCAATAAATCTCAGCCATCCAAGGAGGCTGGAGGGAAGCCCATTTGAAACAGGATCCCAGCAGCCCCTGGCCTTTGCTCATGCCATGTCCAGCAGGCAAAAGATCCCTAAGGCCTGGAGTAGAGAGCAGTATAATCTGAGTCAATTAAAAAAAAAAAGATGGTAAGAGGAGCAGAAGTACAAAACCCGAGGAGAGGAGGGGAAAGTCAGGAGAGAGACCGCAGGTAGGAGCCACCTAGGAGCCAAAGACTTGTTGTTGGCTCTTGGACTGGAGTATTCAAGACAGGGTCTCTAGCAAGGTGAGCCACTGTGCCAAGAGTATTGACAGCTCACACATGTGTCTACCCAGACACAGCTAGCAGGGCAGAGTGGCCCAGAGGCCACACTAACTTTCCTTCTGTACCCCTGCTCCAGGATGACCCTCTTCTTGAGCCCCATCAGAGTACCAGCTCTCCAAATCCTGAAATACCACCTGTCAGGACAGCAGCTATCCCACACATTCAGGGCCTGCCTCCACACAGCATCCTAAACGAACCAGTCCACTAGTGTAGAAATTCAGGAAACTCACATACCCAGGGAGGGTACCTAGATAACTGACCAGAAAAGATGCCCAGAGGCCACTGGCCACCATGTCTTCTGGAAGCCCTCTCACAGATAAGTGTGGGGATAAAGTGTGTGTGCCTAGGGGCCTTTTCCTAACTATGATTATTCACACTTTGGGAACCCAGCCCGGTAGTCAGTGACCCATGGCTCCCAGGGCCTCCTCCATTTCCTGAGCTGGAAATCCCTACAGAAGTTGAGCGATCCAACTTGGATCAGAGTGCTGGACTGCAGCAAGAATGCAGGGGCGTGTTGCTCACCATCCTGGCTCTAGCAGCCGAAATTGCTTAGACGTGCACGGTACTTGGCCAGAGTTGCTGTGTGTGGGGAAAGGAAACACAATTCCTCACTGGGCCATTACTTGCGTCTCTTCGCACGCGCAGGTTCTGGCTGGCTTTGAGTGACATCCCAGGTCTTCAGCTAACCTTACCCCCACTTCCTTTGGAGGCTGTGGCCAAGCTGCGCCTGGGGCTGGGGCCTCCAAACCATAGCACTTTTGCTATCGCGACACCCAGCGAGCTGTCTTCAAGCAATGCCAGGCCCGCACCTCAGGCTCCGGCTCGCGGACCCATCTCTCTGCCCAGTTACATAGAATGCCACGCACAACCTGCACGCACACTCACAAGCACACGCGCACACGCACGGATTCCCCCTCCAACGCCAAGCGCACACGTGCCGGGCGATTTCCTTTTGTACTCTCTTTGCAGGCCTCTGGTTCTCTTCTCCCATGGCCACTTTCCTCCCAGATCCCCCTGGCCTGCCTCCTTCCTCTTCTGCCCCTCTGCCCTTCTTGGGTCCTGGAAGAGGAGAGGAGGCCGCAGAGGTGTGGCCTGCTCATCCCGCAAAGGCTGAGTTATGGGACAAGGCTGGGACTGCGGGGCTGGCCTCCGGCCTGCGCCCTGTTTGTTTTCCCTTCGCCCCCTGAATGCTAGATTAAGATGTAAAGATTACCCCGGGCCGAATAATGCCGAGAGTCAACACTCAAGCAAACAAAAGTGCTTGCACAACTCGCCAACCCCGCTGGGACCCGGGCCGCGGGCTGGGGGAAGAGAACGCGCTCCTCGCTGCTAATTACAAATAAATGATGATGTGCTCACTAAGTAATTGATTTAATGACGTTCCTATGAAACTATTAAACCCGGGTGGAGGTCAGGCTGGAGGCGCCCCAGAGCGCCCATTGTGGGCTGTTTAACTCCACCAGGCTCCTCCGAAAGACATCGGGGCTAATAGGTGAAGTCACAGCTGCTCCGGCTGACTTTCTCCGAGCTCTGGGCCGGCCGCGGGCACCCTCGCGCCCTCCTCCTGCCGCGCCCTCGTGTCCCACCGCCTGCACCCCGCGCCGGCCAGCTTACCCACGCCTCTCCCAGCCCTGCCGCCAGCTCCCGAGGGCCTCCAGAGGGATCCGGGTTCTCTTTAAGAGCGACGAAGTTGAGCACAGAACTTGTGCGCTCCGCCAGCCAGCAGTCGGCTGCCTGCACTGCCGCCCACCCCTCCTTCCTCACCCCACCCCCGCCACTTCTTGCAGGAACTTCAGCCAGTGTGCCGTGCAGGGTGCCCGCGCGCTTGGCAAGGCGCCTGGAACCCAAGTGAGTGCTCAGTGCACTGACGGAGGCGAGGCTGGCGGGAGTGTGTGAATTGTGCTCGAGTGTGTCTCAGGTCAAAAGGCCACCTTTTCCCGTTCCTTACCCGGCCTTGGGACCTGTTTGTACAAAAAGGGTATAGAAGTAGAGAGACCGAAGTAGAAAAATGAGTAAAAGTGAAAAAAAAATGTCTCTCGGGTAGGAGCTCAGGCCTAGCAGCCTCGGTCCTGGGTTTTGTGGGAAAAGCGCCTCTGCCCCCACCCCCACCCCTGTTCTGACCCAACCAAACATACCCTTGCCCTAATGTTACCTGCAACTCCCAAAGGATAGGAGGGCCTAGGCCCGCATTTTTGGACTGATAGGTTCTCCTCTTCCCTCCCTGTCCTCAGAACAGGTACAGGTTCCTTCCGTTTTTACAGCATGGGCTCTTGGTGGGAAATGTGACCTTCCTTATCCCTTGGAGTGGAAGGAGGGAGCATATCCAAGACCGAAAAATCAAACGTTGCAAATAGATCTACAGTTAAGGATCCTAAACCCCTCTGACATACAGCAAGAGTCCAAATCACTCAGGCCCATAGAGGAAAGGGAAGCTCAAACCCAGCTGGAACCCCCCCACCCTGGGGCGGGGGGTGGGGGGGGGCGCTTCAGACTGCAGAAATCAATCTGCCAGCATGCCCTGGTCTCTCCAGCCAGCCAACTCTTGTCTCTCTTCATTGAGAGGTCATACTCAACCTATTCTTGAAGCATGGATTCATTTATACCACAGTTAGTTGGCCATAGGCTTCTTTCCTTTTTTCTTTTTCTTTTCTCCTTTCTAGAAATTTCCAAAAGCTGGAATAAATTTCTATTTGGGTTTGGGTGTGGGCCCACCCATAACAGAACTTGGCTTCTGTTTGGGCCTTTGGTCTCAGTGAGGGTCTCAGCCTTCACTCTTCAGAGAACACTGATGGAAATGATTTCATAGCCTCACTTGAGGCCTCAGTTTCTCCACCTGTAGATCCTCGGTTGGAGTCCTGGGATTTTATTTGTTTGTGATCTGTGAGGGCGACCTAGAGGAATCAGGGAGCCTTAGTTAAGAAGCCTGTTTGCACCAAGCTTTTGTCTTTCTTTGTAGGAGCCAGACTGGTTAATGGATTTTCGCAGGACTGGTGTTTTAATTTCTCCCACACAGGAAGAATTAAAAAGAGGAGGTATCCAAACCCTTCAAGACCCAAGTGGCCCTTGTGCCCAAAAAGGGCACAGGGTTCACTCTCCTCTCCCTTGCTAACAGCTCTTTGGATTTGGTCCTCATCTCCCCTCCCTTCACCCCAGTCCCTCAAACTCTTTTAACCACAGCTGCTGACTGCATTCCCGACGACGCCCTCAGTGTAGGATGGTCACTTCTCTTCAGCCTGCAAATGAGAAGTGACATTTCAGCCAACCCATAAGCAGAGCCTGGGGACACAGGCCCATTGATAGAGCGTGGCCCAGGGGCCGGGCGGCTCCACAGCATCCGAAGCTGCCTTAATTAATACCATCTTAAATAGTTCAGCAGCCACTGAAGACAAAGTTGAAGGAAGACTTTAAGGCTGAGTGCCCCTGGACAAGCTCCTTCCCTTGTCATTCAATATTTAATGCGCCCGCTTGTAATGCAGCTACTGGTGTTCCTTTCTCAGCAAGGACATTATTTTTTCACGGTGCCCATAGCCAGGGAAAGCCCTTTAGGCAAAGAAAATCAAAATGTTTGTTGTTTTGGATGACTCATAACTCTTGTTTAACACAAGCACTTTCAGGCTAGTATAACAGGCGAGGCCTCCAAAGCAAACAACACAATCCTCGTGACAGAGTCGGACACAAAAAGCACATTGTCTTGAGGACTACCCCTTTCTCTGGTGCTAGATGGGGGCCTGTCTCCCAGTGAACACCACGATGCCATTTCACTTTTGAACTATTGTTTTTGAGTTATGCCATGTGGTCAAAAGGAGGGAGAAGGGGGTTGTTTCCAGGCTCCTAAGACAAACGAGTTGCCTTTTCAATGAAATCCCCCCGCGATCCTTGAAAACGGAGTTTAAATGTCACCTCCGCCTTTCTAATGGGCACAGGGCTGGAGGCGACCCTTCAAAGCGCCTGAGTGATAAACGACCCTTATTAAATATGGCCCGGACTGCTGGGAAAATACAGCGCTGGGCCTGTGTGCCCAAGGGCGCCCCTCGCTGGAGGGCCCGCGAGCCGCAGGAGCCTGGATCACCTGGGGACAGAGGCCCCAGGACCTTCTCCGGGTGAGGGACAGGGAGCTAGAGTGGTGAGCTCGGGTGAAGGGGCCTGGTTGTAATACAACTTCTTATCTGCCGCCCCAACACGCCCACGAGCCCCATCCCCAGAGCTTCGGCCTGAAAGGTTGGTGCGTTTCCCTCTGACTTCTTTTTGTCGGTGGCCCAGTGGCGTCGGCAAGTCTGAGCTGCAAAGTTACTGATTTGCAGGCCGCATGTTAAGGCAGCCCATGTAAGTAATTTCTCCGGGCACCCCAGCAAAGGAGAACAAATCGCTGACAAAGGCGAGCGCTTTCGATTCAGCGGCGTCGTTAAGGCAACCCTGAAGTATCCCTCTTATAATAAGTTCCACTTCAAAGCGTTTCTCATTGAGCGGTGACTGCTTCGCACTTTTATTAAGTCCGGGCTTTTTCACTCCGAGGAATCATCTGTTTGGTTATTTTTCATCGTGTTTATTTTTCACTATTCACACAGTACTTGTATTAAATAAACAAAGAACAATCGCTCTGCAAATAAGTGCTTAGGTGGGGAGAGAAGGAAGAGGTACTGGGGATCAGGCTCCCCTGCCTCTCTCCCCCTACCCTGTGACATCACTACCCCACCCCCACAGCGCTTTCTCTCTCCATTCTTTCTCCTTTCTTTCAAGCCAGGAGGTTCTATAGGGGAATCATCATTAACAACAAAAAGCTAATACATACGATATGCACATATATATCATATATTTATAATCTTTGCGTATGTGTTTCTGATGAGGTGAGAATTGACTGAACTAACTGGCCATGAAAGCAAGGGTCACTGCAACTGTATCTTAATAGAGTGTCTCAAATTGCTGTGGACAGCCTGCCAGAGACTCTCCTGGTCCTGCCCATTGCCATAGCAATTCTGACTCTGTGTGGATGTACCATAAAAACACTAGTTTGAATTTCAAAGAACACATCTTTGAACTTCTCCCCGCCTGATTAGGCACTTAGGTAGGGTGTGAATGTGTGCTCTGGGATGTTCCTGCGTGGGCGTGAGGTCTCTAAGAGGTTTTGTTCACAGGGAAGTGTGCTGGCCACCCCAGGGTGCTTTCTCTGTGGTTCTCCTCCATCCTTCCAGACCTGGAAGGTCCCTGAGGTCACCGGTGATGTTTGGGTAAACCACTGGCAGATGGATGGATTCTTAAGTCTGTGGGTTGTTTTGTCTGCCTACTGATGGGTTTCCTTTTCTCAGATTGAAGGTGACCACTTGAGAAATGCAATCCTCTCTCCTGCCCCTCCTCTGAGGTTATAGTTCCTAACCAAACTGGGACCTAAGCATAGTGGTAACCAGCATCCCTCCTTACAAGTCACAGCACAGACGGAGAGGACTCAGAAAAGCACAGGTCTCCAAAAGCTCCCACAAAATGAAATATATAAATTACTAGACTGTAATCTAAATATTCAGTGGGCAGACAGTTGGGCCTAGCTTGCAAGGTTTTCAGGCCTCAGGGCCAGGGCACTTGTGTGGCCCACCTCCAATTTAAGAGAATATAATTCCCACTCTGTAGCTCTTTCTAGGCACCTTAGACTTCCCTAGCATTCATTTTACTAAAGAACATTTCAATAGGAGAAATATATAAACGAGGGAAGAACCGTGTGTTTAAAGAGCCTCCTGGCCTGGAAAACAAAGGTGGCCGATTTAGTGTTTGCAAAGGCCACGTTTTTTGCAGAGGGAAGATGAAGTCTTTGATGATAGCCAACTTAGTGTCAATAAGTGGCTTTCTTTGAGACATATTCAGATGGGGACGTCTTGCTTGCCAATTGCCATAGAAATCTTAACACACCATGAAGACTGTCCAAGCGCCAAGCCTTCCGTTCTGGACTAAACTGCTTTGAAGTGGCTCGGGACGAGCAGTGGTCAATTTTAACTCTATAGACGGACAGAGGACGCTGGGAGTGGGGGACTGTGCGTCTTTAAAGCAGAAAATAAGAAGGGGAAACTTGTTTTATATCTATACAAGGCTCTGCTCACTGTCAGATATCTTTTCTATTTCCCATGAATGATTCATGTCCTGGTGGCTCGGTGTCACTCTTCTTTTCACAAGAAACTTCATTAGAGAGCTGTAAGTTCCCCTTGACTGGGGCCCTCGGTGAGGAGTGTTTCCCCTTCCTGTGCTGGCTACTGTCATCAGGTCTTGGCAACCTGTTTCACCTTTACTGCATTTAACAGACCTGACTTTAAAAAGCCACGCTAACCTTTTGGAGAAATGCTTGTTGGTGTGACTACCAATTGTTTTTTAAATACTTGCCTTTTATCTGTTTTGTAGTAGTGAACACAACAAACAAGTAAACAGCCAGGCTTCCTAACGTGCATTGCCAAACATATCAATTTGAGCCACTGGGATATTTTGTTGCCATGAAAGAATTGTTTAACACTTGCCCCAAAATGCTAAGCTTAAGTTACACCATCCAAAATAAACTGGAATTGTAATTTGATCTTCCCCTCACCCTATGACCTGATGTGAGTTGATTTGGTACCCACTAGTCAATTTCATCCGTAATTATAAATCGTTCCCGAGCAGTTTGGCTGTCACCCACTTCATGTCTGAAAGTCTTCCTGTCCTCTCACTTTATTTTATTTTCAAAATTATTTTTTTCTTTTTTCTCCTTTTAGTGTGGAAGCAATGCACCAGAGAGTGCTCAGTTTCACTTTTTTCAGTCACTAGGGCTCATTACTAATTTTAGTGGAAGGAACCAGCACTGAGATTTGTGTAACTGTACTTGTAACCTGCAGGGATTTGTTTTCATTCATTTCTTGGGATTTCTAGATCAGTGGTTCTCAGCCTGTGGGTTGTGACCCCTTTGGGGGCTGAACAACCCTTTCACAGGGGTTGCCAAGGCCAACAGAAAACAGATATTTACATTACGATTCATAACAGTAGCAAAACTACAGTTACTAAGTAGCAGTGAAAATAACTTTATGGTTGGGGGTCACCAAAATGTGAGGAATTGTATTAAAGGGTCACACCATTAGGAAGGTTGAGAATCACTGCTCTAGACTAAACTATAAGTAAGCCAAGCTCCCCCCTACCCCGTTCCCTTCAGAGTTTGATAAGAGATCAGGGAAGGGCAAAGCTTATGTTCACTACCATAGCAACTGTTCTGTTTTAAAAGAATAACAGAGATATGCCACTAGGTAAAATGTAGCAATACATAGGAAGAATACCTTTATTACATTTGTCATTCCATCATCAGTCTCGCTTTCTCTCTAATGGAGGTACACACTTTAAGGTTTTATTTTCGGTGCATCAGGAACCAATAAATCTGTGGCAGAGTTAACCTATGCATGGCAAAATACATAAAATACATATTCCTTTGTTTCATAATAAATAAACCTGTAACATGATAAAGAATAGTGCAAACTACCATTGAAAAAGTTGTATAAATAAAACAACTCGTACATCAGGAATATTTTGTCCTAACAAATTTACAGTACATAAGTTATCCCACCCAAGTTCATACCTTATCATTTCTATTTGAAAGGACTTTGAAAGTAAATAACAGGGAAAAAAATCAAACTTTTAAAATGTAGAATTATTTTATATTCAAGTTGTAGGTCTTTCTCTTTGTAAAGGAGGGTCTGCATGTATCATATTCACTGTAACAATCTGAAGACAACATTGAAAGGTGTCCACGTAACAGCACCATGCATTGTACTAGTAATATATCTATAAACTATAATCTCATCAACACAAGGCAGAAAGACATGCAGGAAGAGTCTTGGGTTTTCACATTACCTTGTCCATTCAAGTAAGCTTAAAAATATATTTTATATTTTCCCACTTTTCTTTTTTCTTAAATAAACCATGGATCATAAATGACAATCTTTCACCAAAATGTATAATATATTTCTTTGGTGTGCTTTGAACTCTTCCAGAAAAAGAAAAAGATCTTTAAAAATAAATTAATTAAAAAACTGTACAAATAAAAGTATTCACAGACACTTATTAACAATGACAAGACTACATCAACCACTCACAGCACACAAAACAGATTTCTACAAATCCTGGGGCGGGGGGTGTCTTCAAGGTCTCTGAGGATAAATTAGTTCTCTTTAGTATATGTGTGATGTTTCTGCTGGACTACAGTTTGCACAGGAGATGTGTTGTACCAACTGAACATAAACTGACCAAGAGTTATTGTCCTAGGTCCTTGATCCTTTGTATCCTGGCTTGACAGCCCTGGCAAAGGTCACACATTCATCAGTGTTTGGTGATAACTATAGACCTTTTAAAAAATTTAACATATACAGCAACTCCTCCTCTTGTAATGTAAATCATATACTTCACACTGTCATTTTCAAATGGAAGAGGATTCAGTGCTCATGGCGCAGGGGAAAGAAATGCATTAAAAATAACTTTCAAAAAAGGTTGACACAGTAATATAAAAAGGAGTTGGCCTGTTTAAAAAAAAAAAAAAGCTTTAAAAAATAGGCAGGATGCCACCATAACACCTCCTCAGCCTTTACTGTGCATGCTGGCACCCCAAAAAACTCATGGTCAAAACGTAACTCATGACTCCTTATTACCCAACCAGTTAAGATGCAGCAAGAGGCAGCAGCATCTAAAATTCCCAGTTTAAAAACAAAAGGGCAGCACAACCCAGCAGAGGGAAAAGAAAGCTCTTGAACTACTCTAGTTTACAAAAGATCACAGTTTCCCAGTTGTCTGTCTTAGCAGCTCTTCTGTCTCTGCTTGAACAATCACAGTAGCATGATACAGGGGGGTACAGCAAGGTGGCTGCACTTTGCTTATTTATTTATTTTTTGCTTCATTTTTTTTAAAATCACACAAGGAAAGATACTGAAGGAACAATCCTGTATAAAAATATCATGTTATGGTGAGATTGGTAATAAAAGCATAGGAATTAAAATGATAAATATTAGAAATTAAGGTTTTGTTTGTTTGTTTGTTTGATACAAAGACTTTTGGATACAGGCACAGTCCAGGGTCTGTTGTCAATGCAGCAAGTGCGTGTTTTACAATCAAGAGGCCTTTGCAGAATTAGGTCTCTATAAGAAGGCTCAAAAGCAGCCCTCATTATGGTGCCAAAGGCATCTGAGAGGCACTCCGGGACATGAAGAGGGCCTGGTTGATATGTTAAGGTCTGACTTAATGTTCTTTTTTTCTCCCATTTACTAGATACACACACACACACACACACACACACACACACACACACACACACACACACACTGTATTGGCAGTGTACATCTCAATTTCTCCACTAATTTTCCTCTATGGACTCTGCCTCCAGGCCTGTCCCACTGCAATGGACAAGTCTAGCTTGGTTGCTTTTATTTGTTTGCTATTATTTTTTTTTTTCTTCAGTGTTAAGAGATTAAACCCAGAGCCTCATGCATGCTAGGCAATCGCTCTACCACTGAGCTGTATCTCCAGTCCTGTTTTTTTTTATTTGTTTGTTTTTTGTTTTTTTACGAGAAAGAGAAAAAAACCCCAAATATCTTAATTAAATGTATAAACACCATAGGGTTTCATACTGAATAAATAGGGCTAATTAGACCCGGTGGCAAGTCTGAGTCACCAGTTTGTCTCAGGTTAGGCTATGGTCCAAGGACTCCCACTCACTATCTAACTTATTAATAACCATTCTAATGTATCGTCCGCACAACTTCAGGGTTCCCGTACATTTCCTCATCTTCAGACTCAGAGGTGGTTCCATTGCTGGAAGGTGTGTGGAGGTGGCTGGGGGCCCCACTGGCCTGGCAAACGTACCACTCATTGAGGTTGGCCACCTGAGGGGACAGAGTGCTGGATCGACTCCTTGCTGGGTCCAGCACAGGGGACAAAGTGTCACCCACTGGAGTCCCCACTGATGAGTAACCAAGGGCTCCTGGAGAAGGTGGGGGGGACTTGCAGTGAATCTTCATGTGCTTCCTCAGAGAGCTTGGGTGAGTATAGGATTTATCACAGCCTCGAATCTTACAGTAGTAGGGCTTGTCGCTGGTATGGACATGGGAGTGTTTCTTTCGATCACTGCTATTGGCAAACTTCCTGTCACAGCCATCAAATTCACATTTGAAAGGCTTTTCCCCTGTAACAAAACACAGGAAAGGTTAACAATGGCTTCCCAGAGACCTCTCATTTGAAGAAATCTTAGAACAGAACCAGGGTACATTCCTGTCCCCACCACCAAGAGCAACTCCCAGCTTTATTCCTAACTGCAGTGTTCCAGGCATGCAAGGGAGGAGACACTACAAGGATTGGCCTGTGTCCACTGGCCTGGAGGCTTTGCTTGGACTTGGGTTGTGAGGGACCAGATGTTGGCTCCTATAGCACCAGAGGTGTCAGAGTGAAATCTAAGTAAAGTCCAGGATGTGCCTCTAAAGGCCACTAAGGGCCTCCATTCTACCCCACCACACACACACACACACACACACACACACACACACACACACACACACACACACACACACTCCCTTAGGGTCTCAACACAGAAGAATGCAAGTGCAAGATTCCCCTGTTAAGATAAATACCGATGAAACCATAATTTCAAAACAATGGGTAGAGTGAAAACCAAAGAAAAAGAAAAACACACATGAACATACAGACTAATTTACAGTGGCTTGGGGGTACAGTAAGATGACAATGGCATGTTATTGAGACTCTCCCTAGATTTCACTGGTGGGAAAAGGAGAAAAACTGAACACGCCTGTGAAACACATAATCTTATCCCAAGATTTTACAAAGCTGGTTGGACAGAGGTCAGGCCTTGGCTTCTGCATTCCACCATCTACCCCTGTAACTCCAAGGGGTAAGCGGAGCAGACTCCAGTGAACACTGCAGCCTCAGCAGAACCTGCCTTTGCCTTGTGCCCTAAGGAAACGTATCCTGACAGCTTTCGTCACTCCTTAATAATCAAAACCAATTTTTTTAAACCGAAGTCCTTTGACCTGTCACTTCTTTTAATGTATCCATCAGCCCCAAGAACACAACTTCTTAAACACAATGCCACACGTCCAGAAAGTGAGACTGCTTAGTTAGCTGTAACTAGGGAGATTTAGCCAAATTATTTCGGTGTTTACAAACAAGAGAAGATGACAACAGGTTAGATTATAACTGAGTTTCCCTCTGACATCAGTGTCTACGAGCTTGATGTATTCAGGCCCAAAACTGAATAAGTCATCTCAGTACTGTTTTTTATACTAAATTTCTTTCAATTAAGCGGATTAAAATAACAAAAAACCAAAACAAACCAGCAGCTGCTCTGACACAACATACAGCAATGTTCTTGTTTTAGATAGTGTATTTCAAAAGGCAGAACAGTAGATAAATTTCTGTGGTTAATTATCTTATTTTCTCCCTACAAATATTTCAATGAGGTCTTCTTTTCTTTCATATTTCATCAATGGTAACTGCTCCAATGCCAGAGTATAACACAGCTGAAAATATTTAGATGCCTAAAATATAACTTTCCATAACTGGAAATGCTGTTTAAAAATGAAATTAGTTATTCTTGAAATGTGCCTTCTACATTAATCCACCAGTAGAAGGGATACACAGCTCACATTGATAACCACCACCTTTAAAATTCTCTACAGATGGGATGGAACAAAACAAAATTAATCCCTTGCTCCAGAACACTGATTTGTCAGGACTTCTGTGTTACACTGTAAGTCCAAGGTAAGCCTCATTTAACATAGCATCCTTTAAATACATATTATGTGTTATATATTTATATACATGTACTATATATACATATAATCAGCCCTTCAATATGTAGGCTTAAATGGTTTTATGCATTCTAAGCAAATGCACTGCATTTCAAAATTCTCATTTTTCTGAGCAGCCTACATATCTTGGATTGGGAAAAGCCAAGTGTTTTGAATATTGCTGGTTCCTCCATGACCCTGGAGAAAGAGCCGCAGGACTCAGTGAAGGAGACACGGGGTGGAAATCAAGGAAGAAGTTAGGGAATAAAGGCCAGGAAAAGAGAGGAAGAAAAAGAAGCTAGATATAATTGAACAGCCCATGTTGTTTAGGGGCCTAGGAAGTCCTAACCAGAAGGGCTGGGCGACCCCAGTGTTTCCGTTACAGACACTGACAGAGGGGTCATGTCAAAATTGAACTATGCAGAGTTTTGGAGACTTGGTGCTTGTAGCAAAGAGCCGTGTGGATATTGCCTAGATCTTGCCAACTCCCTCTAGACACCAGCCAGACACAGGTTATAAATGCAGCTGAGGGCACGTGGGTCAGGAAACAGGCCTTCAGGAGTGGCCTGGGGATTAGTCCTTTGATCCATCTGTTCTGGGATCCCAGATAACCCCACAAGGGAAGGCAGTGTGGCACCGAGGAAAGGAAGTAGAGATGTTCTATCTCTCCATACAACGCCCAATGGCTCAGAAAGCCCTGGGACAGCCAAACACTAGCACACTCGCTATGAACTGAATCCTGTGGTACCAGCATCCATCCCTCTCGAGGGGCGCCCCACAAGCTCCAGCAAGGGTCCATGCAGCCTCTGGGAGTGGGAACAAGAAACATAACCATCCCCATTACGTGGAACCAGAAAGAAAATCCCGCCGCGGGTCCCCTCCACCACTTGCTGCCTCGGATAGGGTCAGAGGGTAGCCTATCCTGTGGGAACCCAAAAGCCATGATGTGAGTCTGTCTGTCAGTTTCTCCTTGGTCAGCTGCCAGCAGCCTCCAGGGTAAGGTCCACTCGCTTCCCGAGGCCTGGGAAAATGGAGAGGGCCCAAAGCCTCCTGCACAGCATTTTGAAGTTCCCTTTAGCCCTGGCTGCGAGGGGGAAGTGTTGAGCACGCAGCTGCCTTAGCTAGCCTGGTTGTTTTTATGAGAGTCTCGTGGGAAGTTTCCGTTTGGAAAAGTCATTAAGGAGAATTGATTCCAGTTACAGAAAGGGAAGAGAAAAAAAAAAAGAGGCCTCAAGGGAAAACGTACTTCTAGACGGTCCTGTCCTTGTGCGGGTCCTGCGGGTCACAGGGAGGCCCGCAAGGTGTCGGGCCACAAGAGCAAGGCCTGGGGCTGCGAACCAGGAGGCTCTTATAAAGTCCTCAAGGCCTCGCTCGGGCCTACGCCCTACATAAGGGCCCATGTTTGGGGCTGCCTCTTGGTCTCTGATGCGCAGATAAATCAGTCAAGTGATTATGGAATGTAAACTCAGGTTACCAAAGTGTCCTCAGAGGAGTAATATTGCCTATCATATAAATCTCGACTACACCCGCGCTGCACAGCTTTAGCCTGGCCGGACTGTGCATTCTACAGGGACACTGGACCCATCCCTCTACAGCCCCGCGCCTCAGCCTTCCTCACCAGAGCCACGACGTTGGGTACAATGGGAGGGGGCATGCTCATGGAGTTGAGTTTTCCCCCGAGTTCCACAGAGGGGTAGGCCTTGCCGACCCAGGAAACCACTCTCTCAGCGGGACTAGAACCTTCTTTAAAAGGGCAAAACCCAACACACTCTGGGTAGGGCCGGTGGAATGTGAGTGAGTGGGTGCGTGAGGTTATGTAAATGAAGTGTTAAGTGAGGATGTATGTGCAAGGGAAGTCGTGGTGTCAGGGGTGTGTGCACGAGGTCAGGAATATGTGAACTAGTGTGAGATGAGCGCTCGTGAAGAGCGTGTGTAAGAGTTCGTGTGAATGGCTGGAGACCTCCTGAGGTTCCAGGGTTGAGGTTCCAGGGTACCGGCCCCGGAGGCACCGGGACCCCTCTTCCCGGGTGAGGCCGCACTGATCAGCCCCCAAACTGCAGCGAATCCCACGCGCCCCTCCCACGCCGTATCTCGGCAACGCAGCGGTCGCTCGAGGCCTGCGTCCCGTGGGGAAGGAAGGTGCCACCGGGCGAGCCCAGCCAGAGGTCCTTCCCCATGGGCCTCCGGACCTCCCGAGGCCGGGCGCGTGGGGGCTGCCGACCGTCCTGGGCGCCTTCCTGCTGCTGCTGCTGCTCCCGGGCGGCGGCGGTGGCGGCTGGAGCGCTTTACCGGTCCCGGCGGAGGGGCTGCGGGCGCGCTGGAGACTCCGCCAAGAGGGAGGCCAGCGCGGGGCCTGTGTGTGCTATCGAATTACTTATTCATAGAAAAAAAAAGGGGGGGGGAGGAGAGAAAAAAAAAGAAGTCACATGTCCGGGTTATACGTATGCGGAGAAGCAGCAGAAGGAGGGAAAAATGAAAGCGAGCAGAAGGCGAAGCAGCGGCGAGGAGGCGGCGCAGGCGGTGGCGGCGGCGGCGGCGCGGCCGGGGACAGACACCCACCTGTATGAGTGCGCTTGTGGATCTTGAGGTTCTCGGAGCGCGCGAAGACCTTGCCGCAGCCCGGGAACGGGCAGGGGAAGGGCTTCTCGCCGGTGTGCACGCGGATGTGGTTGATGAGTTTGTACTTGGCCTTGAAGGGCTTGCCCTCGCGCGGACAGTCCTCCCAGAAGCAGACGTGGCTGCTCTGCTCCGGGCCTCCCACGTGCTCCACCGTGACGTGGTTCACCAGCTCGTGCATGGTGCCGAAAGTTTTGGAGCAGGGCTTGGCGCTGCTGGCCGCGAGCGGCGGCGGCGGCCCGGCTAGCTCCTCCGGGTCCAGCCACTTGCAGATGAGCTCCCGCTTGATTGGCTGCCGCATGTAGCGCAGGAAGGCCCCGGCCGCCCCCGGGAGGTGGGGGTGGTGCGGGTGCGGCGCGGGCGCCGGCGGCGGCGCCGGGGGAGGCGCGTGGTGCTGCAGGTGGGGCCCCGGCCCCGCGGCCGCCGCGGCCGCCGCCGCCGCAGCCAGGTTCAGGTTTAAGTTCACGGCTCCGTAGCCGTGCAAGGCGGCAGCCGCGGCGGCCGCCACCGCCCCGTAGTGCGCGTCCCCTGAGCGCGGAGCGAAGGGTGGCTCCGCGCGGCCGTACAGCTCGGCCGCAGCCGCCGCGGCGGCCGCCAGCCCCAAGCGCATCTGGCCGTTGAGCGGGTGACCGCCGGGAGCCCCCGGAGAGTCGTGCAGCGCGGGAAAGAGCGCGGGGCCGCCACCGTCCCGGCCCGCGTAGGTGCCGCTGGCCGAGATGAACATCCCGGCCGGGTGGGGAGGCGGGGTCGGGTGCTGGGGGGAGCTGCTGCCGGACCGCTGCTCCCCTCCGAGCGGGGCCCCGTGCATGGCCGCCGCGGGGGCCGTGGCGGAAAGGTCCCTCCGGAGGACGAAGTCCCTGCTGTGGCCTTTGCCGCTGCTGCCGCCGCCGCCACTGTTGGTGGCGGTGTAGCCCGAGAGGGCAGAAGGAGGAGGCGGGGGAGGGGGAGAGGGGGACTGGGAGGGAGGAAGAGGAGGGGCTGGAGGCGGGGGCGCCGAGGCTTGCGCGCCACCGCTGCCCCCGCCGTCGGGGTGGGTGCGGGCGCCCGGGTGCGCCTCTGAGGCCGCGGACCGGGCAGCGGGCGCGGGAGCCTGGGGCTGTCCCTGGAGCGCCTGAGCGGGAGGGCTGGGGCCATGCCCACTGGCCTGGGCCATGTGCTCGGGTCCGAGCGCAGTGCTGGCCGCGCCGGGGTCAATGTCTGGGTCCCGCGGGTGGAGATGCGCGGCGGCGGCGCGGAGTTGGGAGTGGGCGGGCGGGCCGGCCAGCACCGGGAAGCCTGTCATATTCTGAAGCTGTTGGGCCTGAGCCGTTGCCAAATCCGCTAATCTCAGCGCTGGCGGGTTCCTCTTGCTCAAAGGGGGCTCCATCATAACTATACAATCAGGCCCATAGACCCTCGCCGGGGGCACTTTCCCCCCTCTCTGCCCGCCTTCAAAAACATGTATATATTAGGCGCTCTTTAACTTCTTGTGTCTTGGCCTCCTAACTGCTTATTCTTGTCCCCTTTCTATCCTCCAGCGATTGGCAGAGTGAACACCACATTTGAGCTGCACAGTGGGACCGAGTTTTTGGAAATGGCACGGGTGGGATTGGAGGGAGCCGTGTGATTGGCAGCTGCCTCGGCTGCGCGATTGGCTCCGGTTCAGGCTCTGGGCTCAGCGGGAAACCGCCCCCGTGCTCCAGACCGCCTGCGTTTTCACTTCGCGCCCCCTCCTCCCCAGGAGCTCTGCATGCCGGTTCACCCCCGGATGCCCAAGTTCCACTTGCAGAAAGTTTTGTGCGTGGCCTGCGCACTCAGTCCCCTGCGAACGTTCGTTCGGTCGACGCGCCTGGTGTGGAGAGTCTGCTAGCTCTCAGCCAGAGTGCACCCAATTGGGAGGGGTCAAGGGACCTCCCGACCACGGTCAAAGCGACGGGGTGGGGGTGGGGAAGAAACCAAGGAGGGTAGTACCCGAACACTTTCTACCTCCTCTCTTGGATCCCTGACTGCTCCCTGGACCAAGTGACCATCCTGCCATGGTATCTGTAGCGATGCCAGAAGCTTCTTATATGGACCTCGACTTCCCCTGGGCCCACGTGGGCTGTAGACTGGAGGCAGAATGAGGACGGTTATTAAACGTTATTGGTTGCAAAACTGATGGAGCTTGGCAAAATACCAAAGTCAAAATAATATCTAATAAATCCCCAAAGGAACAGTCTTGCTTAGACCATGGGTTGCCATTCAACATAGTTCAAAGGAATGGGCTCAAGACGAAATCTCACTGCTCATGGGTTCAAGATCTGCTACTTCCAATTAGATCTCCTGAGGGGCGGGGAGGTGGGAATGTGGAGGGAGAGCCAACCTAACTTTTGCCTCTCAGAGATACAGTGGCAGAGAAGGCCAAATAGCGTCTCTCCTAAGTGAAGCCATTAAACAAGAGACGTCCTTTAAGTGAATATCTCCTTCCTGCCCAGAAGGCACTCCTCATATGTGCCTCAGTTTCTCCGGAAGGACCACAAGTTGGAACACACAAAATAAATGTTTTAAAATCAGTAAGTATCTTGCCTACTTGTTTATTAATAGAATAAGCTTCCTCCTTCTTAAACTGAAACGCCATGCTTGAAAATCAAAAATTCTAGGATCCCACGCCCTGGGTTTCAGCGAATGCTATCCCTTTGCATCCATTTGCTACCAAACCAGTTTTAAAAATAGAAGTAGGTCTCTGCATCATGGCAGGGCCGTGGGAGCAATGTGAGACCCCCCTCTTAAATAGTTTCAGTCGCCCAAAGTGTCATTTGTTTTTTATTTTAATAAAATATTCTTAATTTTGTGATGTTCTAAAATGCTCAACTCGAGCAAAAATATTTTGATCCCTTCAATATCTATAAAGTAATAATAACGAGTCGAATATGATTCCCCCCACATCGGGAGGTGGAGAGTGGGGTGGGTGGGAGGTAGTGGGGCAGGAAAGCAATAAACCATGTTCAAGCGTAATTCGTTTGCAGTTTGAGGAAAGATCAACCCCCCTCCCCCAAAAGCTGTCATCAGATCATAGCCCTCAAAATAAATATTATTTCAAAAGAGTTGATTTGCTAGCGCCATTGATATCGGTGTGAACATGCTTCAGGAGCTTCCCTATGAACCTGGGGAATGTCATTTCTCTTATAAAGCTGACAACCAAGCCATCACATTCTAAATGCCTTTTTCTGTTAGCTTAAATGAAGTTTAAATCTAGGGAAAACGCAAAGAGCTCGAGCAGACACACACACACACACAGTGGCAGTAATCAAATCCACATCTGTATTTGGGGAGAATTTTTTGATGACTTGTTTCAGACACTTAAATATTCTGAGCCAACCATGGAAAGGTTGGTGGAGAACAGTGCCATCTGTATAGATGGTGTGTAAAGGAAGTATCACATTGTGAATTATCACCACTGTCTTCATTTTCTCGAAGGACATTTCAAATGATTTTCCTTTATTTCAACCTCTTGGCAATGAACGTTCATACTGGCAGTAATGACAGCTTGGAGTGCGCTCCTGCAGGTTATCAGCAAAACAAACTAAGCCCAAAAAGTGAATAAAGAAAATAAGTACGACCTAGTTTATAATATAGACCTTTGAGCAATTTTATTGTACAATAAAGTAGGTACCTCCACCCCCTTCAAAATGGCTTTTCGTCAAAATTATAACCGCTTTGTTTCATTGAATTGCTGAAACTTAATGGTTTAATGGATGGAGGCATGAAGGAAAGGCTATAAAAATGTGGATAATGCTGCAGCAGAGCCGTGTGGAATCTGAAACCCGCCTCCTTGTACAACTCTTGTTAAACACAGCATGATATGTATCTGTCATCGATTTAATATGTCTTAATTCAAATATATCTCCCTGATCAATTTCTTTTTATGGGAGACCTAAAAAGAAAGAGAGAGAGAGAGAGAAAGAAAGAAAGTAAGGAAGGAAGGAAGAAAGGGAGAGAGAGGGAGGGAGGGAGGAAGGAAGGAAGGAAGGGAGAGAGGGGGAGGGAGGGAGGAAGGAAGAAAGGAAGGAAGGAAGGGAGAGAGGGAGAGGGAGGGAGGGAGGAAGGAAGGGGAAAGAAAACACTTTCTTTGGAAGTAACAGAGATTTGGGTGGTGACTGGAAAGGGAATATTTTAAAGTGAGTTTAATGAATATTCAAATTTATGACCCAACCCAGACCCTAAAAAGATAATTGACTCAGGTAAATCGATTTGAGATGCTAATTCTTTAAAGAAAGGGCTGGGGAGCAAAATTTCAATCAACACCAACAAGGCGCCAATAAACCGCCTGCCAATTAAACCTGAGAATAGGCCCAGCTACTTGGTCATCAGGAAGGCTCGCTGTGGATTTCCGGGATTGCCTTGCTTTATAAAAGGGCTTTTTATTTTGCAGACGCGCTTTTTGTTATTGTGATGACCTGCCTGACCCCAGGTGCTCTGTTTCTTTTTCAATCTGTTTGGGAGCCAACCCCAAACCCCCTTAAATCCCAACTTTCTAAGGACGCGATAACTAGTCACAGTCCTAAATAAACAACAATTTCCAGAGTATTGAAGAGAATAATGTACTGATTTCCAAAGCAGGGAGTAATAGATGTGTTCATGCTAATTCCTTCCTTTTCTGTGGACTGTTATCCTGAGGGTGGAACTGGTCTTCAGGGCCACTTCCCAAAACTCAAGCCCTGATCTACACTTTCTGCTGCAGAGGTCCTGGTAGGAAAGCAGAGATACAGCGTGCTTTGGAAATACCGGTGCTGGAGGCAACGCGGACTTTGGCGGCCGTAAATTTACAGACCTCGCGTTTGCTCCAGTAACCCTAACCTCTTTCTAGCCCCCCAAACAAAGGCACGGGGAGGTGGAAGGCGCAGACAACTCCCAGCTGGCCGGAACCCGACGGCCACGCCGCGGCTTAGCTGCCTAAAGGCCACAGAACTTGGCGCCTGGGGATGTTGCAGGCAGGCTTCCCGCTGTCGGGAGGGAGGGCTGCGTCTCCCAGCTCCAGGTGCCTTCCGTGCCTCACTTAACACAGTCAAGTTTCCTACGATGGGTGTGGGCAATTAATAAACTCTAAGGGAAGTGAATTGGACATTTCCTGGCTTTTGAGTCTTTGTTTGATTGTTTCTCCAGGCGGGCGGGCGTGGGGGGGGGGGGACTTGGGGAACGGTAGGGTGGACAAGAAAGGAACTGGGGAGACCCACCGAGATGCCTTTTTATTGCCCCTGCAATTGCTTTACGACTAGCCAGTCCCGCGTGGTTTCTGAGAGGCGGCCTCCTTGCGGAAGGGCTAGGTGCGGAGCGGATTTGCAGTCTAGGGCCTTAGGGATTGAGCCAGAGGCGGGTTCAAGGGCGAACGGGCACACAGGACTCCTGGAGAAGGACGGTTGAACCTGGGCGAGGATGGCCAAGGGGTGCTCGACTCATGCAGGGTGGGAATTGCTAGCAGACATGAGGGTTGTGGTGATAGTTCACCCAGAGTTTTCTACAAGCCGGAGCCAGAAAGGCAAGCGGACCAGTAAATCTTCATTTTAGCGGAGCTCTATCAGGGCAGGGAGAGGTGGCGACTGTCGGTGAAAAGGCATTTCCCAAATCAGGTTCGCTAGACTTCCAAGTCAGCAAGGTCTAAAGTCGACTCTCCTGGCCACTCGGACAGGGACCAGATTCTCCACTCGCGTCCTCACCGCTCGAGATTAGTCTGGCATGGGAGCTACGACTGGTCTCAGACACCTTGGTGCTCAAAACCGTCCGGTGGCAATTCCCAGCCCTCTGAGCATCTCTTTGGGGATTGCCACTTTCCCGCCCTTCTGAACGTTCGGAATCTTCAGGCTCCACCGACACGTGTGGTGCGAGGGGTAGCCAAAAAACGTGCTTTATTCTAAGGTTTATGATTCCTGTCACACATTCGAGGGCATGATGGAGATGGGAAGACAAAAGTCACGACTGTGTTCCTAAAACCAAGACGATAGATTGGGTGGGGTGGGGAGTGTTTTGTCCGAATCCTTTGGATAGTGAAGAACTGGCCCCATCCTGCATCCACTTGACCTTTGCATTGACAAGCTGTTGGGGAAAAAAAAATAATCAACTTACTTCTACAGTTCCAAAGATAAGTTATGTGAAATCTGCCTGTGGTCAAATATTCCCATTTGGTTCAAAATTATTTTTACAGTCAGAAATAGAGGTTGTTTGAGAAAGGCCTTTGATCACTAGGATTGAAGATTTCTTGAGAAACACACTGCTTTATCCTAAAACAGGCTCAGAAGGTCCAAGTGAGAACCACAAAATGTTTTTATATTGTCAAGGTTCACACAAAAGCCTAATTTTAAGATGAAGAAAAGAGATGGACTTTTCTTCATCTCTCAAACTTGACTATCTTGGAAGTCAGATAGAGATGCAAGCAGAAACTTCAATGTATTTATTTATTTATTTCAAAATTGGGGTGTTGTTCTCCTACTAAACACCCCCTTCAGTATCTACGCTTCAATATTTGAAGAAGCTGTTGAGATAAATCAAATAGTGACACGTTGATGGTTTTACTGTGCAAGCAATATGGTTGACATATGGCATTGTTATTTATGAATGACAGCATAAATTGTATTACAAAGTCTACTGCAATAATACTGCACTTTATTGGAAAGCTGATGGCTTGTCGGTGTTCAAACTCCGGGTTTGCCTGGGAGCCCAAAGGATAACAATCTTTGAAATAATTAAATATGCTCCTGTAAGCTACAGCCTCCTCCTTTTTTTTTTTTTCCTGTTTGTTTTTGTTTTGTCTTCCAGCATTGAAAACATTCCTATCAAAAAGAGGAGATGAGGCAAGGACAATCAGTTCTCTTCTTACTCCAAAACCACAATTACTGTCACCCAGTTGGGGGGGGCTGGGTGGCTGACGGCCTCTTCACCCCCATTCTGAGAAGTACAAAAGTATTTGTATTCTTGTCACCAAACTACTGGTGGGCACATATTTTATACTGAGATTTTTTTTTTTAAATTATCTCGACTACAGAGTTAACTATGAAGAGAAAAAAGTGAAGCCATGGGAAAGCTTTGTCTTATGGGATCTTCACTCACACCCTCCTTCTTAATGTAATTTAACAGTTAAAGCTTTGGCTGGGCTTTTCACAACTTCCTCTTCTTTTACATTACACCTTTCTAAAGTCCTGACAAAAGACTTTTGTTCTAGGTGGGTTTTACAGAGGGGGCTTCTCAGAGCACACATGTGGTCTTTCATGGGTCAGGGGTCACCCAACTTAGGAGTAGCTGAGAAAGCAGAATCAAAAATGACTTTCAACTTAATATCCTGTTGATGAGTTGTTGAATTTTAACCCTGTGATATAGATGATGGTGGTACTAGAACCCTGTAAAAAAGGAAATTATTATTATTAATACTAATGTTATTTTGGTCTAAGATATAAAGACAATGTATTCCATACTTTTCCTCACAGCTCCTTTTTTTTAAGCCCCATTTTTATTTCTTTCTTTAAGAAAAAGAAATCAAAATTTATATGTTACTGGGGTCAAGAGTTTGTTTGTTTGGTTTCTC